AGATTGGCTCTTAAAGTACCGTGAAGTGGGGCTGGAATCTGGTGGTTGGACTGGAAGATTGAACGTAAAATCCTTATTTTTCGTGTTATTGCAGCTATTTATCTATCCAGAAGACAGATTAACACGGCGCCCGCCGTCTGGCGGCACTTGCAGTGGCCGAAACTTTTCGGTTTTACTGAAGTTGCAACCAAGACCATCCTTGTCCCCGCTCTGGAGGTTGCGGGCGGGCATGTTTAAGCCTTTTGATGTAATTTGTTTCAATAATGCATGCTGAAAAATGAGCGTTCTCAGGCAAACACGGCATGATCTTGCTCGTTTCTTTAAGCTCATTTCGATCCACCCTATTCATTAATGATAATACCCCCACTCTACTCAACAATAATGATACCTCTTATTTCCTTCCTGGCAAGGGGCCTCTTGAGTAGAACACTAGGGGTACATTACCGTTTCCGGCCAAGGGCTAAATGGTCATTCCGTCCCAACGCGGAGTGTGTTCTGGCTATCATTCTGTTGGCACGGGGCGGGATCTCCTGGTCGATCCGGAGGCCATTAGAAGGATATATCATATCACATTGTTCCCATCCCTGACACGGGAGGCCTCCTGACCCACGCAGTTAGCCCCGGATCAGCACAAGAACCCTCATTGACGCAACAACATCCCTGATCACCGCAGGTAGTCCGATAGTTGTTGCATAGACCCCAGTTCCGTGCTGTTCTTCAGAGACGTCGAGTTCTCCCCGACTGTAGATTGTGGATGAAATGGGGTTAATTTTTAAAATTGTATTAGCATGGCTAACCCATTTTCGTCTTAAAATGCTCAAGATCCTGCTGTCAGAGTTGATCACTGATAAGAAAACTACGTGATATGGTGTTGAACACGCGCGCTCGCAAGTCATGGCAATAACAGCCTCGACGCTCGGCATTGCAGTCTCCAGGCCGTGCGGCGTCGGCCTTGCAGCTGTAACGCCAAGCGATGGCCAACGGCCAAACGAAAAAGATGACTCATCTTAAGGGAGATGGCTGGTAGACTAGGTAAATCGGCATGCGTGTTTAATGTAGTGCAAAAATAAGCCAAATGCAACCCCTATCGGAAAAGTGAGGGAGTTAACATTGCTGCTCGCCCCCACCTTGAAAAGCGGGGAGGGGGGGGGGGGGGCATGGCCCCTGGCTCCCCTGTCTCTACGCCCATTATTTCTAAGTACTTCCGACTAGGGTTCTTTGGAGTAAATCACTGGTGAATGGGTTACCCCATCTCTCTGTTGGGGGCAGGTTGAAAGCGCATTTCGGCAATAATTTTGTGGTTCTGGTGCCAACCAACGCCATTTCCCAGCTGAAAATTATTTATTGAAGGTGCCAAATTGAAAACAATTCGGTTTATGGATATATTTATATTTAAACCAGCCCGCGAAGGAAAGGGTTTTCGCGCCTTTGTAACTTGGTGCCATATAATTAAGTCTCAATATGACGCCACAGCGTCGCCTACCCAGAATGCAGTAATGCGGGGCTTGCCTGGTACCTCGGTTTTTGTGAAGGGACTAAACGGCCGACCAAACCTGTTGGCAGCCCTATTCTCCGAGCCTATCCCAGCCAGCATGTCCAATTGGGACCCATATGGGTCCCAGTTGGATAGTCATATGGGGCCCACCTGGGCTGCCCACTTTGGTCCCATGTGGGCATGCCATGGGCTAACACCTGGTACCCATATGGGTGACCCTTGTTGGGCCCATGTGGGGCCTAACTGGGACACACATGGGGCCCATCCAACGTTTACAATGGTGACCCATGTGTGTCCGAGATGTGCAAACGAATAGGGCCCATCTGGGCTTGCTACCTCGGGCCAATGCGAACATGTCATGGGCAACCAACTGGGTCCCACATGGAGGCCCATGTGGGGCCCTTGTGGGGCTTAGCTGTGACACACATGTGACCCACCTGGGCAGCCCAGTTGAGACCCGCCTGGATAACTCAGTTGGGACCCACATGGGCCAGTCCAGCTGGGACCCATGTAACCAGCCCCGATGGGACCCATATAGCTAGCCGAGATGGGGCATTTTTAACCACCCCAGTGGACCCCAGCTGGGTCTCATCGATCTGCGATTTCAAATTCCATCTGGTTGATCGACCGCCGTAATTCCAGGCAGGCTGCTTCATGTCATCGATAATAAGCCAGGTCAAAGTTTATGCACCATGTATTTGAGCGAAATCGCCTCGACAACAGCACCCTTACCCAAAACATACACTTCCCTGTTATCATGCCCGATGCGACAATCACTAAACCACCAGCAGGCTCGCTGGCCGGCACCTCCGCACCACCTTCAGGGGCGCGGAGGTGCCGGTCAGCGAACCCCCCACTCGCCACTGCTGAGATCCCTGCGGGCGACCGGCCAGGAGACACCCGGGAGCTCCAAATGCGAGCAATGATCCATCAACCATTGAGACGTAAAAAGAGCGCTCGTTACATGCCCTCAGCGCACAGACTTCCAGCATAGAACACACCAACTGCCTAAAGTGACATGACAGTGAATCGATCAATGTTGACGTGAGCTAAGTTCGCCCACGCGCAGTCCGTGCGAATGAGATCTATGCCAGCAGTCCCTCTTACTGGTACGTGGCATGGTAAAACGGACCAGGGAGCACACGGTACGAAAATTATTACGCACGTAGTCAATGTGATAGCATGTGGGCAGCCAATCTGGGTCCCAGATGGGGCCCAGGCATCAGCCCGCTTGCATCCCATGCTGGCATATGGCCAGCTTGCCCACCTGCTGAGATCCCAGCGGGCGATCTGAGATCTGATCTGAGTATATGCCGCTCACCCTTGTTGCAGACTAGCTCGTGCGCAATCAGAAAATATCCAACCATGGAGAGCAAAGTCCGAAAACCAATGCATTGGTATAAAAGATGTCAGCATATGGGCAGCCCATCTGGGTCCGACGTAAACCCCGTAGACTAGCCCACCTGCAGCCCATGTTGACATGATCCCGACTTGCCCACATGCATCCCCTATGAACCCCAGCCCGTACTGCTCTCCTTTGTTATGTACTCGTTTGTACACGATAAGGAAAAATACAGCGTAGGAGTACAAGATAGCAGACCTTATGCACCTGTACCAAATATGGTAGCGTATGGGCAGCCCATCTGGGTCCCAGATGGAGCCCAAATATTAACCCACCCGCACCTTACATGGACGGGAACATGGAGGTGGCACATGTAAAATAACTGTACACGATATGGTAAAACCTTTAAACAACAAATACAATTAATATACACATAATTGTGTATATGACACTTTATTGCAAGTGTAACATATGGGCAGCCCATCTGGGTCCAGCATGAACCCCAAAAACGAGCCCATCTGTGGTCCATGTTGACATGAGCCCAACTTACCCACCTAGATCCCAGATGATACCCAACCCGTGTGCTCTCGTTTGTTATGTACTCATTTGTACATGATAAGGAAAAATCCAATGCGGGAGCACAAGGAAACAAGCCTAATGCACCTGCACCAGACACAGTAGCGTATGGGCAACCCATCTGGGTGCCAGGTGGAGCCCATATACCAGCCCGCCTGCGACCTACATGGACATGAGCCCAGCTAGCCCGCGCTCAGCCCATGTGGATCCCAGTCCAGGCAGCAGTCCCATATTTTACAATAATAGTACACGATATGGTAAACCCAGACAATAAAAACGATTGATATACACATCAATATTGTGTGTGTGGCAACTTGACTGCGCATGTAACATATGGGCAGCCCAACTGGGACCCAGATTAAGCCTAGATACCAGCCCACCGGCAACCAAGCTGACATGGGCCCAGCTTGCCCACATATGGCCCACGTAGATCCCACCAATGCAAGCATTCGCTCCTGGCGAGCTATGTTTTCTTGACGCGATAAATTCTGACGGAACGGTACAAGGCACTAACGGTTTTGGGGCATACACAAATATGAAACGATGTGGGTGTCCCATGTGGGACCCAGCTGGAGCCCAGTTGAAGGCCCACCTGTAGCCCATGCCCATATTAACCCAGTTGCCCCACTTTTAGCCCATGTGGGTTCCAGTTGGGAATGCTGGTTGGGTATGACACAGATTGACATGGAATCTTCACCAATTGGTGCGACTTAGTCAATATCCCTGCTCTTCCAGAACATGGTGACCTTGGGTCAAGTCAAAGTTCACCAAAAATAAAAAAAAGGAAAAATGGTTTTGCAGATAACCAAATGCTCCGAGCCTATGACAGATCACCAGAAAACCTGCAGTAATCGATGTGCCATAATCGATGTCCTATCCTTTCCAGAGTATGATGGTCTTGGGTCAGGTTAAATGTCACGACAAATAAAAGAATAGGAAAACAAGTTTGCAGGCAACCCCATGCTCCAAGTTTATGGCACCCATCGCCATGAAACCTCCACCAATCGATGCATCATAGTTGATATCATATCCTCTTCAAACCATGTTGACCTTGAGTCGGGTCAAAAGTCACCAAAATGGCAAAAACACCAAAATTGGTTGCAGACAACCACATGCTCCGAGTCTGTAGCGCCGATCACCATGGAATATTCACTAATGGGTGCGCCATATCGACCTTGACGCATATCTGCCAACCTATTTTCTGCTTTTATTTTTTATTTTAGTGACCTTAGACATGACCCAAAGCCACCATGTTCTGCAAGGAAAGCTTATCAAGCAAGTGGAATCGAGTGACAAAGGTTTCATATCAATCAATGGCATAATCTCGGAGCATGGGTTTGCCTGCATCCATATTTGATGGTGTGGGTCGTTTTTGTGACCTTTGACCTAATTCAAGGTCACCATAATCTGGAACGGATCGGTTATTAACGAAACGGCATTGAATGGTTAAGGTTTCATGTCGATCGGTACCACCGGTTCGGAGCATGGACCCGTCAACAGCTTTGGTCGGCCGCTTGGTCCCAGGGTAACGTTTAGTCCTAATGCTCTGCATTTAGTCCCTCTTCGTTTTCGGGCCGAATTGTTTAGTATCATCTGTTTGCGTCTAGGGGTCAGTGCGGCGTGGGTCGTCGCCTCGAGGTTTCTGCTTGAGCCAGCTGCCGTGAAGACAGTATATTCGTGGTTATCACATACATTTCCTGTTGTGGTGCCTAGATATACTTGCATTTTCTTCCAGCCGCGGCATAGTCCGTCCATCGTGGATGGAAGATTCCGGTAGGTGTGGCGCGGGCGCGGCGAAATGCGTTGGTAAAAGATGGCCGCTGTCTGCATTGCATGCTTGTGGTTGTGAATTGTTAAGTGGTTGTGTTGTGGTTGCCGACGTCAGCTATTTTTTTAAAGCTCAGAATATCAAGATTGAGGTTAGATGATTTCATGCCTCACGTTATTCTCAGCCAGATGGAATATGTTCACCTGAATGGTGTTGATTGGAATTGATCTCCCCTCAGAATGGCAGCTCATGATGCATTAGGGCGGGTGTTGATCTGTGGCAGGCACATTCCTGGTGAATCTGTTTTTAAACTGCACTGTGGGACCAATATGTAGTAGCAGTATGCAGCTAATATCACACATAATCTCAGTGACTTCAAAAACAGGTGGAAATCAGCAGTTTGTAATTATGCATGCTTATGGCCTTCTAAGCATGATGAAAAGCTTTGTTCCACCATTTTAGCTTATGTGATGCCCACAAATATTGAGCATACTACAACAATGCACCAGATACACCAGTAGTCAATCTGGTGGCTTTGTAACTGAACTGGCATTTTTCACATTGTGATATATTTGATGATTTGAAATGCTGCAACATTGGTACCAAGTAAAAGTATTGCAAATGATAGATGGTAATCGGGTGAATTTTTGGGTCCATTTCTAACAATAGGAGTTGTTAGTAGTTGATAAATGCAAATTAGATTGTCTGGAAAGCCTTGAGAAGCTGCCACTTTCCCTCTGCTGGTCATCAAATCATCTGCATCTGCTTGCAGCAGGGAAGTGGCATCCTCCTATAGGGCAGGATCAAACTTGACCAAAATTTGTTTGCTGACTGATCTTGCCAGCTGTTGCAGGCTGGCACCCATGTACCCACCTACCTACCAGCTACCCATGCATGAGCAGTGGAAGGCCAACCACTGACCTCCCTGCCTAACAAAAAAAAATTATCATTGAGCTACCAACAGCACTTGGTAGCTCAACAAAGACAGCTGGAAACACTTGCTAGGTTAACGAGAGCAGGGATGGATAATCGACCATTCGCTGATCATCTTTTCACCCCAGTTATATGGATGTCCTGTTAAGCATCTGGGCAGGCAATCAATGATCAGCATCAAAATGGCTGCTGCCCTTGATGCATCAAGATGGTGTAACTAGTTCAGAAATAGTAACTGATTAACATTGCACATAGCTACCTAGCTACCATGACAAACATAGATAATATTTTTGCTAAACTTCTTAGTTGTGTCACAAATTGTTTGAAAGATGTGACATTGACCACACGCCTGTTACACCCTCATTGTAATATTTGTTAAAGCCCTGGTGATACACATTCCCGGTGTTTTAATTATTGACTTCATGCTTTAAAGAACATAATTTTTGCAGAGTTAGCCCTGGCTAAGTGAGGCAAAATTTTTAGCCTGGTCTCTTTCAAACAGCAATTGTAATAATGTTACCTGACAGCATGTGAGACATCAGTCATATAAGATTGGTGTATCAAGGCCAGATATTTTAAAATATGTTAGTTACTGGTTGTCAGTTGTCATTGAAAGCAGATGAATGCTTTGGTTTTAATGGCACATAACTGATAATTGTGTCTTAGATATAGGTAATGTTTTATATTCAGACACATCTGTCATTAACTTTAAAAAGGGCATCTCCTCTGCATTTTTCCTTTGTTGCACAAACATTTTTTCATGCCTGATCTTCAAATATTTTGATGTGTTTGATGCTAGATACCAGTGATGAGGATTGCTGAAATAATTGTTTTCAGTTGCCACAAAAGGGGCAGCTTTTTTGATGATTGCAATGATTTTGAGCCTGAAATAAATTAGTGCTGAAACAGTATTTCCACAAAATCAGCAGCTTTGTTTATACTTACACCATTTTTGAACTATTGTATTTTACAACTCAGATTTTCAACTGTCCATGAACCTGCTGGGACATAGAGTACAATATAGAATTTGGGACCAAATGGGTTTTTGCTGAACATTTGAGCATTTCCTGAGTTAGATCCAATGCATAATTTTTTGTTTATGTTAATACTGAGTTGTAACATGTTTTTTGTTGTAGCCTAAACCACTTTTGCATACAAATTACAGTCAGAACACATGTCAGTTGTAATAAGGTGTTGACCAGCATTGTGGCAGTGTGCAGCATAACTGTCAGATGCAGTCATCTGTTGACTGATGTGGTGACAGTGGGCAGCCCACCTGCCAGTTGTAGTAATGTGTCAGCTTGCATTGTGACAGTAAACAGCATGCCTGTCAGATGTAGTGATGTGTTGACCAGTGTTGTAGGAGTGAGCAGTGCACTTGTCAGATGCAGTGATGTGTCAGTCAGTATCGCGAAAGCGAGCAGCACAGCTGTCAGGTGCGGTAACGTGTTGGCCCATGTTGCGGCAGGCTGACTTCTGCTGATCGGCGGGCCCTGAGCAGAGGTTGCCGCGATGTCGGCCGCCGACCAGATGCGCGCCATGCTGGACCAGCTGATGGGCACCAGCCGCGATGGTGAGTCCGCCCCCGGCACAGCCGGCAGTCTGGCCATGGCCTGGCCAGGAGCGCAAACAATAGCCGACATGCCGCAGCCACCAGGCCTCCCAGGCTCAGCGATCCAGACCAGAGACTCGTTTAGAGGTCTTCATCACACATTTAGTTGAAACGATGTGTCATTGGCTTTCTGGAGAATCCAGTCAAGAAATGCACTACTTGGAAATCAGGTTACAATTGCTGATGCATCATAGTGTGTCTGGTATCGTCCTGGGGATGTGTTGTTTTCCCTCCTGTGCCATCGCCCTGTGACTGGTGATGGCTGCTGCTGCTTTCTGGTTTGCAAGTTAACGTCGGATCAGGAAGCCATTCTGTAAATTTGCTTCAATGCTATGGCGTTTCTTTGGATTTAGATCTACACTTTGTATGATATGTTTTGTCAGGCTGGGATCATGGTTCTTATTCACTCAAGTTGGCCTGGTACAAACAGGACGGAAAGTGCGTGACATTTTATGCTGAGATTTCATTGCATCTCACTTCCAAAAATGTCTGGGCATCAAGTGATATGTAGAAGTGCAGTTCCCAGAATAAGTGTTACCTCTTTGTCTGTGTTGCGATTCGGATGCTAACTCTGAGAGTAAGTAGCCTATGTTTTCTTCTAGGGTGTGGCCAGCTAAAAATGCGTGTATCCCGCCACCAGATGTCAGCAGTCACGTGTGTATTCCAATAGCCCAGCCAGTCAACTGTTGCACAGTATTTCGTCATTGCTGTTCATTCATGACTTGTCTAACATTGACTGCCAATGCCTAGTTCTCATCCTGCTGCCAAGACCAATAGTGTCGCTCATTTAAAACCTCAGTGCCAGTCTTGATCAGTAAAAGACGGGAAATATGCCGTTCCCGGTCGCCCGGAACAATCCAGACTTTGTTCATAGCTGTATCAGTCTTATCTTCTCCGCTTCACCCGTGTGACTCATGATAGAGTGCATCACAATAATATATGCGTCACTATATGTAGATAATCGTCGGTGTCGGGAACGTAGTGCGCACCTTTTTTGCTCGTGATACCAGCCTTCGAAAAGATTTGCTTGTGCTTGTCCGAAACAAACGACGTTTCTAAATGTCACGTGTCTGTCCCGTTTGTCATTTCAGTCACGAGAACTTCAGTTCACTTTGGACAGTCTTGTTTAAGTTCATTGAGCAGACGTGGGGTCGGGGTTGGTTGGGAACGAGTCGGAACGCCGCGGGATAGGCCGCCTGTGGCCTGGTGAGTGTGAATTGGTGGTTCCTCCGAGGTAAGGGAGGCGTGTGTCGTCGAAGGCACCCCGCAGGCGGCCAACACCACACCGGCGGCGGCCGCGCTAACGTACTTGCAGAAGGCGGCGGCAGGCGGATCTGGTTTGGCTCCCGGGCCGACCGCGCGTCTTTGTGAGTCGGAGCCGCCGGCCGGGCGGTTGCCATGGTGACACAACCGCCCGCGTCCGTTGCCTGTCCTGACTCGCGCTGGTGTTGTTTCAACTGGGCTGTCGGGTGGCTGTCCCCCCTCCTCCCCACCCCCCAGATAACGCCTATCGGGCGATGGGTTTCGCTTTTTCAAACGATGGATTCTCTGGAACAGGGGTATCGAAATCATTTACAGCGTCCGATAACGATTGTAGGCGCAACACATCAACTTGGATGTGAAGAAAACTGTCGACTTGGTGGTAATTAATTTTTTTCTTGGCGTATTGCTTAATTTACTGTTGTCTGTATCAAACGCGTGGTACTACATATATATATATATATATATATATATATATATATATATATATATATATATATATATATAATTCTCGGCCGGAATCGGACAGAGAGTAAAGTTTGTCTTCCTTTGTCATACCGTAACATTTGGACGTGATTCCATAGAGGCTGTGGTGATGCGCAATTGGACGGCACAGCGAGGCCTTTGGCTCATCCGATCGGACGTGCGTGTATGCAGTGGGCTGACGTATTGGTCTCAGGGCCTTACCGCTCCTGTAGTGGGCGGACATGAGCAGTGACCTACTGGTAGCCTCTTCCCCGTTCAAGGTAAAAAATTCCGCTAGGGGTGGACAAAATATCTGCTGTCCAATATGACCAGACCTTTTCCCAAATGTAGTGTGTTGCTTCCATTTAATCCCCAAAACGGCATCTGTTGTGGTTAACTTTTCAAATTCCATGCCATCGGTCGAAAAATTCATTTTTTCGTAAAGAAAATCAATTAAAAAACCCTGCTGGAGGGGGGAATTTGACGTCTGCTGTGAATGAGGTCCTCGTTAATGCAGAGGTAGGAGTATCACCAAGGGTGTGTGTGTGTGTGTGGTGTGGTGTGTGTGTGTATTGTGTGTGTGTGGTATGTGTGTGTGCAGTGTTTCGGAGCACCGTGTGCAGAGATGTGTTG